GAAAGAGTTAGAAGCAAATACTGGTTTGGGTTAATACTGCTTTGAGTCTTGGCTCCCCCTGCTTTTAGGGGAGGGGAAGGAAAAAGATGATGCAGAGCGCGGTGTGATTTCATGCCTTTCAAAGCAGGACAGTAGCCAAAGAAGAGAGAAAGAGAGAAGCCAGTTAATTTCTTATACCTTCTTTCCTGCTCAATTCTGGAAAACTGATAATGGGCCTTAGAGAGGTCACCATACCATTTTTCTAATGCCTATGGAAAGTGTAGGCGTGCGCACAGTGGAAGAGCAGCAGTGTGCAGCCACCAGCTCACCTTTAGTCCCATATCTGTTCCTTAATGTGCCTGGGGTTCCGCTCTCCTGTGTTTCTTGCTCTGTGCGCTCTTCTGGCTCCTGATCTTGGAGAAGGGAACTGGTGCTCTTCTCTGCCAAGAGGCCCTTGGTGACCTCCTTTGGGGCAGTCACTTCTGAATGTGTCATTTCACTGTCAGAGCTCAGTGACTTGCTTTTTGATGAAGCATTGTCCTCTCCTGTGTTGGAGCTTTCACCTTGCTTGCTTGTCTTCTGATCCTCCCATGTTTCCTGGTGGACAGGGCTGTCTCCTTTGCTGTCCGTTTTATCGTGGGCCAGCCTGGCTGTAGGGAATAAAATTCACAGACTTACGCTTAGTCTCTTGCAGCACAAGAACCAACAGCCCTTTCTCCTGCTCTGCCTCCTCTAAGCGAAGGCCCATGTTGTCAGCATTTTGGAAATGCTGTACATGCAGAAGGGGAGAGACTCACCTTTATCCAAGTCATCTTCTTTCTGGGATCTTTCTGAGACATCATTTTGTGTCTTCCCAGATTCTTCATGTGATCCTTCAGTTTCCTGGGGATCATTCTCTTCTACTGTGGAGCCAGCTGAATCTGACAGTGCCTTCTCTCCTCCGTCAGCAGTTGGCGGTTTACACACCAAAGAGTCCTCCTCTGGTTGGCAGGAGGTCTCTGGCCACCTGCTTGTCACTAGGTCCTCAGGTGTTTCTTGGGTGGCCTCTTGGTGCACAGGATACTCTGCTGTGCTCTCCACCTTCTCTTGGGATGGCCCAGCTGTTGGGATCAGAGTTCACAAGCTCAGCTAGATATACAGGAGTCAAGAACACCCAGTGCTTTACCACTACCCTGGAAAACTCCCAGTTCTTTTATTTCCGGAAAATCTGCCCCAGTGTGATGAGGGAGAGAATGGGGTGACCAAAATTGAGAAAACTCATGGGTTGAGATCAAGACAGCTAAACGGGAGAAGGAAAGGGGAATAAATCACAAGTGATGCAAAGGCAATTGCCCACCACCTCCTACAAGCGGACTGATGCCAGGCCAGTCCCCGAGCAATGGCCACCCTGGAAGCCAACCCCCTCTCCTTTTCTTCCTGTACCCCAGTTTTTGTAGCTGAGCATGATGCTATACTGTATGCAATATCCCTGTGCCCACCTTGGGTCCCTGCCCAATCTTTGGCCAACCCCAGGTTGTTCACTTGGCGGGGGAGAGGTGGGGAAAAAGAGAAAGCCTTGACTCTGTGCCAGCACTGTTCAGCAATAACCAAAACACAAGTGGTATCAACACTTTTTTTTTTTTTTTTTTTAACCCACAAATCCAAAACACAGCAGTGTTACAGGCTGCTATGAGGAAAATTAACACAATCCCACTTTCATTAAGTGGTAGGATATGTTACCACATCTTCCACAGATAGTGGGTTTTCCTAGGTTGGTTAACTAAGGTGATGGATTTTTAGAATTTCTAAGGCTGCTGTCGAGTACTGGCCAGAACAGTTATGCCAATGCGCTTCAAGCATCTGTCCGAATGTAAATGTTAGCTCTGCTTGTGCTCCTTCTCTGCTTCTGTTCCGGAGCTGCTCTCCCAAGGAGCTATGGTAACGTATAATTAAAAGCAAACACTGGAGCATAATTCAATAGAGAAATTCCAAGGCTGAACGTAAGCGTTTGCAACATATTCTGAATCTTGCAAAACCAAAGAGTGCAGCTCAAATTGCAGGCGCTATTTGTGAAAAATTGCTTATGAACGATCAAGCACTACAATGACAGAAATGATTATGCTAAAATTAGAAGAAAAAAACGATAAAAATGACAAGGAACTCCCTACTAATGTGAAAACAGAGAAGAAGCTGCACTTGTCTTGTGTCAGAACATGCTGTCATTTGGAGCATAACTTTTACATTCCTTGTTGCTGATTATTATGGGTACACTTCTGGCCGCCTAGGACAGATCTGAGCTGGTTGTAGCATCAGGATATCACTGAAATACTCAGATGTAGTAGTCATAACAAGGCACCCAGAGAATGTAAGCACACGGTAGAAACTGAAATGTAAGGACCCTGGAGGTATCCTGCTATTCAAGCTGGGCACAAACAGTGCTCCTTGCCCTGCCTCCTCCAGATGTTTCCCATCCGTAGGTGGTGGAAAACTGGCTTATTATTTAAGCATCTGTAGATGGGAAGCACTGGGGTGCAGGCAAGAAAGCTCTCCCAGTCTGGAGCTTCATCTTTAGCCTTCCTTGTGCTGCCATCCTAGACATCACGAGGTCTAAACTTGTTGCAGATGAGAATCGAAAACTGAAAGTAACTTGTTAATCTTTCCCTCTTCAAACAAAGATAGCACCTTGCTTTTCTTGGCCTGGAAAATAGGGTATTCTTTTATTTTTTTATTTCTATTTTGCTTAGGTTTCCCATGTCACTGTTGAAATCTTTTTGCAAAGGGATTTTCCTAATAGATGGAGTAAGCATAGGATTCACTTACCTACAGACAGATCCACACTTGGATTCTCTTCCATTTTCTTTTTCCCCTAGAGCTCTGGCTTCTGTACAATTTTGTTTCACTTTCTCCTTTGGTCATAAGGAGATGTATCTGCCTGCTGTTCAAGTGGCTGACCAAGTCCCCTCACAGACACCATCCCGTCTTGGCCTCAGGAATTGCGACTAAAGTCCCATAAACCTGATAAGCACAAACACAGGAGCAGTGATTTACGGTGGAGGAGGAGGAGGCTCCTCCCTCCCTGCTTACCAAGGTGGTGTGAAAATGGAAGGATGTCCCTGATAATGGTGAACCTTCAGCCCAAGGGCTATTAGCTATTTCGCTTCCCGGCAGGCTGCATGCAGTCCAAGGGCTAACTCAAACCGCAGTTGTCTCGGGACAAGCCAGTGGGGTGAGGCGCTGGTTTCTCATCCGGATGGACTTGGATGGACTCTGCTGTTCTCCGAGATGGAGAGCCTGGAGTCTGAGGCTCGGCAGGCTGCCCCTCGTGATTTCGGGCACCTGTTATCTCACAGCCAGGTTGACACAGAGCAATGAGCCTGCTCCACCTTACCTTCCTGCCTCCAGTCTGTCCGATCGGGAGACGGTGGTGCTGGAAGGCGAAGTCGCTAGCAGAAACACTGCCCGGCCCCTGTGCAGCAGTGTTCCCCCCGCAACCTTGTGCCCATTCAAGGGACCTCGGCCAGGTGTTGTGCACCCGGAGCCACAGCCTGACTCTCCTACACCCCCCCAACCCCCAACCCCCCAGCAACACCTCCCCCTCTGCCTAAAGCGCTTTGGGACCGGACAGCCGCAGGACGGAGCTCAGCTCGCTGGCGTAACCTGAGAAAGTTGAAGGGTTTCATGCCTGCCAGTGGAAAACTAGGTGGCACGGAAAACTCCCAGGAAACTTTTCCAGCTGCAGAGTAGTTGGTGCAGATTTCCATATAAGAAAATCTGAAGCCCAGCCTTCTCAGCAGGTCTTCTAGCGTAGAGGGGCACCTTCCCCCACCCACACTGTCTCCACAGCTGAGTTTTCTTGCTGAATACAAGATTTGGAGGCATGTGGGGGCGTATAATTCCTGCTCTCTGCTGCCCGGGCTCTCATCCCTCCCCTCCCTGTGCTGTTCCCGCTGGTGACGCTCTGGCAGAAGAAGGAAGTCGGAGGAACAAAGTGGCTGGCGGAGTCGGACGCTTACCCAGTCTTGGAGGTTTGGAGCCAGTCAGGGCGGCGAAGCGAAGCGAAGCAGAGGGGCAGCAAGAAGAGGCCAGTGCTGGCCCCTCCGCTTGCCCTTCCCAGAAGCCCTTTGGCTCTGCCGGTGGCGGGACAGCCTGTGGCACCAACGCACACCCTTAATCCTCCGCTGTCAACGTGACAGTGAACTCTGCCCTTCCACAGGCGCCCGGCAGGCTGCTGGGAGGTGTAGTTTTCCTTCCTTCCTTCTCGCCAAAGGCGGACGGCTTTATCCCAGTCAACAGCAGAGGTTCAGGAAACGATAACCTCTTTTTTGGCTGCATTTCTGAAACTTTGCGGTCACGCAGAGTTTCCTTCAGGCAAGCCGGATGACTGTCAGCTTCCTGCATTCGGTAACAGCGTTGCAGATTTAAACAATGAAATGAGGGTGAGGAGGGAACTGTTTTGAGAGTTGATTTTTGAAGATGAAAAGTACCACAAGAAAAACAACCCGAATGCATAGCCAGCAAACCCCAGACTCTGGAAATGTCACACTGTGCAGGTGCAGGGAGGCTGGGGAGCTGCGGGCTGTGAAATGGGGTGTCTTTAGCATCAGCCTGGTGGGCAAGGGATGGGGAGCCCCCCCAGTGCTCCCCTTCCAGCATGGTCCAACAGGGGGAAGGTCAGAGAGAGAGTGTGTAGCTGCTCCTGGCCTCATTTGGGCAACAGTTTTCCAAAAAAAGATGATCTCTCTTGCGCCCGCACAGGGAACAGGTATGCACCAACCTATACCTATACCCACCTGCCCAGGACATGTTTCATGGGAAGTGGCGGCATGGAGCAGGGCATGCCAGGGGAAAAGCATCCGCGCAAGGAGCAGCAGCGCGGAGACTGAACCCCCCTCGAACTCAGCTTGCAGCCTTTTCACTAACATCCCCAGAGGAACCCAGTGGCAAAAGGCTGAGACAAAGCGCAGGGGAAAGGCAACTGGAACAGTGCCGGTAAGGAGCAGGTACTAAATGGCTGAGTCTCCTCCGTGTCTGAGGCTGAGGGGAGACCTTATCACCCTCTACAACTACCTGAAAGGAGGTTGTAGAGAGGTGGGGGCTGACCTCTTCTCCCTGGTGAAAAGTGATAGGACGAGAGGAAATGGATTCAAGTTATGTCAGGGGAGGTTTAGATTGTATATTAGGAAACATTTTTTCACTGAAAGGGTTATTAAACATTGGAACAGGCTGCCCAGGGAGGTGGTGGATTCGCCATCCCTGGAGGTGTTTATAAAAAGGGTAGACGTGGTGCTTAGGGACATGGTTTAGAGGTGGTTTTGTCAGGGTAGGTTGATGGTTGGACTCGGTGATCTTAAGGTCCCTTCCAACCTTAGTGATTCTGTGATTCTATGATTCTATGGTGTGGAGAGCAGAAGGCTGAAGGGGGGCTGTTTAGTGTTCACTAAACCCCCCAATGCTAGGACTTGAGACACTTGTAAAACAGGTCAGAGGTTGGGTTCAAATAGACAGAAAAAAAAACTTCTTTATGCTGTGTACAGGAAACCTTGCTGGTACAGGGGCCACAGAGACAGTGTCAGAAGGTTCAAAAAAGGATGAGTCTCATTTGTGGACAACAGGTCCATCAACAGATAGTACAGGACCAGACAGGGCTGTACCTGGCAATGGGAGGTGCAATTTAGGTGAGGCGCATGAGCCCAGCCCCGACCCATGCACGGTTCCCCTTATGCTCCCACAGCACCCAGCACTGTCCCACTGGGGACACTAAGGCTGGAAGGGGCTGCGTGTGCCACCCTGTTTGTGCCCCCCCGCCCCCGGGACAGGACTGGCCAGAGGGTGCCCTGCTTCCTCTCTGTTTCTTCCCAGGCCTCCACGAGCTGCCCCCTGCCCTACGGCCAACTTTGTGTCTTGTCCTTGACTATTGTAACCACTCAGTTGTGAGACGTGTGTGTCACGCTACACAAGGGGTGAGCACATGGATGAGTATCGATACCGACGCTGGTCGTATCAGGAAGGTGAGATGGCGTGAGGTGTGCGTGGACATGGCGCAGGTGGCGATAGCAGGATTGCACCTTCTCTCCAGTAGCGCAGAAAGGCAGCAGATTGCTCCGTGACCTGCAGAGCCACCCTGCTGCTGGTGGCCGGGAATGGACAGAGTCCACCTCCCCCCCCAGCAGATTCAGCACATTCTTTAATCATGGCCAACCTCTCACCAGGTGCAGGAGAGGCTGCAAAACTGGGGAGAATGGCAAAGCAGGAAGGAAAAAATCCAAGTGGCTTATCTACAGAGGCCAAGATCTCCCCGAGGGCCCTGCTCTTGGTTGACGTCCATCTCACATCCCAGCCAAAGGCACATTTCACTTCATCTGCTTCCAGCCGTAAGTAAGCAACAGCCCAGGTGGCCAAAGTGGACAGGAGCTGCAGGTATCAAGGGCTTCATGAAAATCAAGGCATTTTACATTTCTCTGTCCCTGCAACCAGCCAGTCCCTTCACCACGGGAGGCAATCAGGAAGGACCACACTTTCCGCAGGAGCACAAGTGTCACAAAAACGGTGGCAGAACTCCAGCTCAGCAAGTGAGAGAGGGGAGTACGTGACAAAATTGGGGGGGAGCTTCAGCCCGTGCGGATTGAGAAGCCGGTTAGCAAAAAGCAGCCTGGCAGGAGAATTAACTGGTGGGTTTAGGACATGAAGTCATCCACCACCACAAAACTGTTACAAAAAAGTGCATTGACCGTTGTGTAATGTTGCTTTTCTTCCTTTAGCATTCACAAAGTATGAGCTGTAGAGTTGTGGAGCTGTAACAACAAATCTGGTCTTTTTTTAACTCGAGTTTGGGGGAGGATTTTATTTAAACAGGAATAACATTTTCTCTCAATCCGGAGAAGAATCAACAGTGACTAGGTGAATTGCAAGGGACACGCTACGTAAATATTTACCCAACATAGTCATCTAGTAACTTTCTTTGGAAACTTGCAAATAAAGTGATACCACATGCAGCTGTCAGAAATCATGAGCCAGTCATCAGCAGGTCTTTTCCTGCTTGAGTTGAACTGCACAGATCGTTCAGCTGCACTTCGAAACCTCCTGATGCGGTATTTGTTGCATCCTCTTTTGTTTTTGCTTTAGAAAACATTGCTCAATGTCTGTGTTCTACTTTCACATCTTAAGGGAATGGCAGTATTTATTGCTGGTACAGAAGGAGGTACGCGTAATTTATCTCACAAACATTCACTTGCTTCTGGATGAAGCTGGAACACATGGTATGCTAGTATAGCATGAAAATCGTTTTAATTTGGAAATGTATGTACAGACAGGACAGTTGCAGAAGCGAAGGCTGAATGGCACTTCCCTCACCTGGCCCTCCTGTTTGAGTGCACCGAACACATACACACCTACCCCATTTACAACCCTGCAAAACAAATACCATCACAAATGTGAACATACATATTATGGAGCATTGTAAATAAAGATACTGCCATTACAGATGTCACTATCATCTTCCTCAATCCTGTCTTTTTCAGTATGTAGAAATCCTTTAGGATTGGCAAACGATTACAAAGAATTAGAATTTGTAAAAGTTGCTCAGCAACTTGTTTCCAAACTGGTCCTAAACAGTTCGCTGCCCTGGTAAGCATCTTTGTGGCAGTGACAGAAAATGTCTGTCCGCTGTGGAAAGATGGGAAAACCAGGTGCACACAGGTGTGTCGCACTTCCAAACAGAACCCTCGTGCACAGCAGGCGACACTAAATAACAACCGTGGAGCGCAGGCACTTTTTACTTGGGACCACCCAGCGCTCCTCCTGATCGCTGCGGGACAGATCCGCAGGCAAACGGCCTGCAGAGCGGAGCCACGACGCCGTCCCTCCGCTGGCCCCGCTGCCGGCGGGGAACCCCCTCCTCGGCCCC